AAAAAAATTACAAATTTAAAAATTGCTAATTTTCGAATTTTTTTACTTAAAACTGTCATAACTTTTTCAAAAATGAACATATCAATATAAATCTTTTTTATATAGATGCATAATATCATTACTTTTCATTTGGTATATTTTTTTCATAAATTTAACCCTTAACCTGCCCACAAGGGGGGATTTAAAATGACAACTTTTTCACAAAAAATTAATTTTTTTAACTTAAATTTTGAAAATGTTCCGGAAGGTCTGACACTTTTATATATATCTTAAATTAAAGCTAATGTAATATACTTTATCATGTTAAAAAAGAATTTCGGACTTTATTTTATCTTCAAGGTGAAAATGGCTACCAAATGCTATTATTGTGTGAAAATTCTCAATTTTATTTTTTTTTTTATATTTTTAACTTTATAATGCTATAACTTCTCGAAAGATGTATGGATCAATATAATTCTTTTTTTTGTAGATGCATGATGTCTTTACCTATCATTTGGTATATTTTTTTTATAAATCTGACTTTTTACCTGCCTACAGGGGGGGATTCAAAATGACAACTTTTTCACAAAAAATTGACTTTTTCAACTTAAATTTTGAAAGTGTTCCGGAAAGTCTGACACTTTTATATATATCTTAAATTAAAGCTAATGTAATATACTTTATCATGGAAAAAAAAAATTTCGGACTTTATTTTATCTTCAAGGTGAAAATGGCTACCAAATGCTATTATTGTGTGAAAATTCTCAATTTTATTTTTTACATTTTTAACATTATAATGCTATAACTTATTGAAAAGTGTATTGATCAATATAATTTTTTTATGGGAAATACTATTTTCTAATAATCTCTTTTCTATTAGACATACTTTGTCTTAATCAGGATATTAATAAGGAACTAGCAGTTTATGAAGCTTTTGGAATAATCCACCAATTTTTTAAAATTAAACACTATCTAAAGATTTGCATCGAAGCGTTTTTTTTTGATAGTGATTTTAATCACTGTCAGATATCATTATACTTGATCCAACTATGCCACGTCACCACTGTGCCGCGACCCCCCTGTGCTGGGTTTTTTAAAAGTAATATTGCAATCTGCTAAAAAACAGAAACAGTTAGTAATAATTACACATTTAATAGCAAGAACGGAGAAACCGTTCAGTAACAGAATCTTATGATTGATGTGTATACATATATAATAATTATTTAACTTTGACCTAAATTTAATCTCCTGACCAGTTTCTTTTTAATCTGTGAGGGAATGAGCAAGATAACATGGAGTTTATTAGAGGATTTAGGAGATTTTATAATTTTGTGTGTAATTTTTTGTAGCCTTATTGTCGAGTTCAAAAAGTTTACACTTTGTAGTCAGCAAACTCATTAGGTGATCTATACATGCTTCAAAAGTATTATTTTTTGTTATATTTCATTGTTTCTGAATTCTATTTTAATATTTGATATGTTTTTCAACTACGTATATGATTTCATATACAACATTTGTTACTTTGTGTTCTATTTTCGATCAAATATAAAATTAAAAATATATGAGCTTTTGTAGTTTAAACAATTTTTTATAGAAAAAATATTTTTATTCTTACATATTATTAGATTTTGAAGAAAAAAATATTTTTAAATTTGAATTCAAGGGGACAAAAATGTTTTAGTATGCTTTCGTTCAATTTATATTGTTTATTTCATTTTTGAAAATAATATTAACACTTATTGTGAAATGAATAATTTAAATTAAGAATGAAAAATTGCTAATAATTATAATAATTTGAGCATATATAATTTCCATTATATATACTCAAGTTGAAATAAGTACAAGTGCGAAACACATATATTTGTTCAGTTCAAAAATTCGGTTTCGCGTGGAGTACGTTAATTTTCTCCACATTTAAATTTTTTATTTGCTTTCCGGTTTGTAAACTTTAATTTTAAAAATTATGAATTGACTTTACACTTTTATTGCATGTTATATTTTTATTTAATTTTCTAGAAACTTAAATTTTAAATACAATTTTGTTTAAACCTATTAAAGTATTAAGATATCTATTATGAATATTATAAGATAATTTTTTTCGTTTATAATTATTAAAATGTTGTCAAATAAAGACTTTCGACTGAATATGGTTGAATATTTTCGTCTTATTATTAAGTAACTGTTGATGCATATGATATAAGTTTCGATTGGGTCAAACGTGTTTGTGTGGGAAAAAATAATTTAACACAGGAAGACACAAAATTCTCTGAGTAGCCAACCATCTAAGTCCATTTATATTTCTTTTTAAGCCTTCGAAAAAGACTTAAACTTGTACAAAAACTATCACCAAGTTAGATAATTTTGATAGTGAGGTAGTTCATAAGACAATTCATTGTTTTTATGACAACAGTCTACTTACTACGTCACCGATAATTTTAATGGCTATGCTTGAAAAAAAAGCTATAAAAGATATAAATCATCTATAAAAATTCTGTTCAAAAACTATTTCTAAATTGTTTTTAACTTAACACATAGAGGATAAGTCCTTGAACATTATTTTTAATCGTATATTATACTAAACTAGCTTTAATTTGAAGAAAGTTAAAACAATTTAAGCATTTAACCGATAAGTTCGATTTTATTATTTTTTTTTTTATTAGCCTTCAATATAGAAGTATTATCATAGCTAAACAATTAAAAAAAAACTATACAATAGAAACTAAGACTATACAATAAGAACTGAGACTAAGCAAAAAAAAAATATTGTTATTAAACACAATTAAACGTACTCAAAATACTAAAAAAGAAAGAACAAAACAAAATAGACCTAGGGTATTAAATTAATATACAGAAAAATATTATATAACGAAGCCAGCTGAATGAACGAAGAAAATTATTTGTATAATTATTGTGGAGGATTTTGTATTAAGGATATTAAAACTATTAATGGGTAAAATATTAAGGGAGGGCAGGAAATTGAACAAGAGTAAACGGTTATGTTGTAAAGATAGGCAATCAAATAGTAAATGAGAAAAATTACAGGGGACTTCATCATTGTGTTTGGGGCAGAAAAGGAATGGTTTAGTGACATGTTAAAGGCATGAAAAGTAGCTAATTATGACCAAATCTAAGACGAGAAAATGAGGTAATTTGGAAACGGGACAGAGGGAGGCTGTAAAACCAAGGACGTTTAGGAATAATTTGAACTATAGATTTATGCCAGTTAGCTAAAGAGAAATTTGACCATTTATCGTGCCATGCTTTATTAATAGTTAGATGAAAAGAAGAAAGGGGATCGAAAGAAGGAATTTTTAGGATAGGTGGTCAGTTTAAGGAGTTAGTGAGTTTGGCTAGGTGGTATGCTATCTCATTGCCAGAGATTCCGACATGACTCGGGCACCATAAAAATTCAACAATAATGTTTATTAAATAGAGAATATAAATTAAGGCTTTAATTTTAATTGTGAGGAAGGATCAATTTATTTTTAAAAGAACTGAGGAAAGAGAGGATAAAACATTTAATTCGATTAAATTATATTATTTTTGGATTTAATAATTCATAGAAATCGTGATTTTGAATAATTTTTCTTTGTGTATCTTAATGTACATAGTATTAGATTTATTTTAATATAGATTTGAAAAAGGTAGTTATTTTGTAAGTTTATTGAAAAGAATAAATATTTTGATATGATTATTAAACACCCACAGTATCTTATTTGATGATTCAAAAAAAAATTGTTGAAAGAAAAGCAAATACATTTGGTTCAGTAGGTGTAAACGTATCAGGCATAAAAATGAAACCACGACAAAGTAAAATAGTTTCTCAGCTACGAAATGTAAAAAATTCTAACGACAGTAGTAAATGTTTAATGGAAAGAAACAATATTGTTGCTACACGAGTTCGATTTTTATTTAAAATGAGCAAGTTTCGACAAAATAAAAACTTTTGACCAATTGTGTACTTAGATGAAATTTATGCCAACCAAACTTATACGAGGGGTCAAATAAATAGTAAACTATTTAAACAATATTATTTTTTCAATTCGTATGTTTTGACCACAATACTCTACAATACAAGTAACCATATATCATATACCATAGACAACAAAATTTGTTTCATTGTTTTTTTCTGTGTAATTGAGTTTAATAATTTTTTTTTTATTTTATTTCCTACTAATTGCTAGAAGGTGACTTATTTGCTCAGTGGGTAATTTTTTATATTTTGATACGTGAGTACTGGGATGTGATTTCGCTACTCTTGGCGTTTCTCGTCCTCTCTGCTACAAAAACATTCTAGCAGAAAACATTTTATATAAATAATGAATAACAATAATTGAATAGAATTTAGCAATAACAAAATATATTTAGCTTATTTAAATAATAATTTTCTTTATTTTTGAAAACGTATTATTAATCGGCTTCTGTAAAAATAAATACCTCGAAAATCATGTTATTCTTCTACTTCCTCGCCTTAATCCCAACTACTTGGGGTCGGACAC